TGACAACATCATTCGCACGTACATCTATGGTCCCAAAAAGACAGACCCGCAGCCCCGCGCTAAAGGCTCTGGAGGTCATGGGAACCGATCCTAGAATGTATCGGGTGGAGGCGGTTGGAACAAAAGGCCTTTCCAGCAGCGTGGTCACCAGCCCGATAAGCAGTGCAATGGTTGTGGAAGGATGGGGCACATCGAAAGGCAGTGCCATGACAAGAACGCAATCAAGTATTCTGGGAATAAGGATTTTCAGAAGCCCAACAAGGGTGTGGGTACCTAGTTGGAGGAGTAGATCGAGTGGATGAGGCATATGTGCTATGTGATGATGATATATTAAAACTAGAGAAGCTTGCTGATTGCAAAATCTCTAATTTGTTTGCCTCTTCTTTTAATAAAAACTCTGTTTTTACTCTCGATCGTACCCACGTGACAAGATTTCCATGGAAGCACTGCAGGATAAAATTTCAATCATTTTCTGTGGATTGGGCATTCTGCCTCCTGTCATTGAAATTGTGAGTCGTTGCACTCAAGAGCACCCCCTGACTTCGGTCGCGTTGGTGATTCGCACGGTCAAATGTGAATTTTTCCATACGCTTCGTGGATGGGCAGTTCTGGCGGTGTGGGACAAGGGACACCATGTATGGTGGACCAACTTTCAGTCATATAGACGCGCTCGTCATAACGTCAAAGTGTATTTCAAACCTTGTGGCATGTCCGATTTGCCCAAAGCATTAGCGGAATTTGTTGCTTGCTGGTAGCGTGAACGTGGAAAATGCAAAAATCCTTGTTGATACGGGTGCAACCATTTCCCTCTTTGACGAAAAGTGGGTCATAGCACGCACAATCCTCGTTGAAGGACCTTCTTGTCCCATTCGCCTTGGTGATGATAGTATCATTCCAAGCAAAGGGCGGACATGGATCAACATGGAGATTGAAGGTTATCGCAAAGAAATTTGCGCGTATGTTTTAATCCTTCTCGTAGGCATTGACCTTGTCCTTGGAATGGATTGGCTTCGAGCGAATGAAGTCAAACTTGATTTCCAGGATAATACGGTCTCATTCTCAAAGAATGATGACACTGTCCAATGGCAAGTGCGTAAAGACTTGGTCACGAATGAACACCACACGTCGGAGCGTCCCGATGTGAGTTTTGCACTTGCAAAAGATTTCAGACAACATGTTTGACAAGCTGATACATTTTTTGTGGTACAGCTTGAGAATGCTGAACACGAGCAGACTGGGGCCGGCGATTTCCCGCGCCATATGTAAGCAATGGCAGATGAGTTTGCGGAGGTTTTTAAGCCCATCCCAGATGGCCTTCCTCCAGACCGTGCAGTCGGTCATAGACCTCTGTATCGCCTCAATCCAACTGAGTACGAGGAGGCTACACAACAAATTGAAGAGTACCTGAGGAAGGGATGGATTGAACCAAGCACATCACCTTACGGAGTGCCGATCTTGTTTGTTAACAAAAAGGGCGGAGGATTACGCATGTGCGTAGACTACTGTGTCAATGATTGAGGATCTGTTTGACAAAATCCAAGGTGCCCAGTGGTTCAGCGCATTGGACCTCGCCCAGGAGTATCACCAATTGCGCATCACTGGAGAAGATGTACCCAAAACGGCTTTCCGATCACCGTGTGGTCATTTTCAGCGGCAAGTGCTCAGCTTTGGCTTGACTAATGCTCCTGCCTCTTTTCAGAGGGCTATGAATGATGTCTTTCGCGAGACGATTGGACAGTTCGTTCTGGTCTATCTAGATGATATCTTGATTTATTCTAAGTCGGAAGAGAAGCACACCCGACACCTTAAGAGGGTGTTGGGGAAACTACGAGAGCATAAGTTCTATGCTCGTCTGTGGAAATGTCATTTCTACAAACGCGAGTTGGAATATCTTGGCCATCTCGTGGGAAGTGACGGTCTCAAAGTAGACCCAAAGAAAGTTGCTGCAGTCCAGAACTGGCCGGTGCCACAAGATGTGGGTCAAATCAGGTTGTTTTTGGGGTTGGCAAACTATTTTTGTCGATTCTTGCTGAATTATTCTATCATTGTTGCTCCATTGACGATCCTCACTCGCAAAAGTAGTGCTTGGCAGTGGACACAGCAATGCCAAAAGGCATTTGATGAGGTCAAGCGAATGCCGACCAACGCTCCGGTACTAGTTATATCAGATGCGACAAAACCCTATGATACTGACTCCTCATTGATAGGGATTGGGGCTGTCCTCTTGCAAGAGGGGAGACCAGTGGCATTTGAGAGTCGAAAGCTCTTCCCAGCAGAGCAGCGCTATACGACGTCCAAAAAGGGACCGTTGGCGGTCGTTCATGCACTACGAACATGGCAATGTTATTTGGAGGGTGTGGATTTTGTGGTTACGACGGACCACTGTCCAGACACCTACTTGTCCACCCAAGCCACGCTTACTCGACGTCAAGCCCGATAGCCGAAACTCCTTAGTGGGTTTGCTTTCCATATTCGAAATCGAGCAGGTTCGACGAACCTGGCTGACCCCCTCAGCAGACAGCCGATAGGGGCAGCAACACGGCTAGACGACACAGAGGATGTGGCAGTATTTTTTGCTTGCTTCAGTGTCCTAGTAGCGGCTCGAGTGAGTGAGATCACCTTCAATGGTTTTCTGAAACGCATCTGTACAGGGTACCAAATTGACTCTTGGTTTCAGAACCTACAGAACACGAAGGGACTCAAGTGGGAGCATGAGCTGTGGTGGTGTAAGAAGGAGATTGTTGTACCGCACGTGGGTAACCTGCGGAATGACATTCTGGAAGAAGTGCATGCCACTAAGTACGGAGGACACCTAGGGGTCAAGAAGACCAGGTGGGCCCTGAGTGATGTGTACCGGTGGCCGGCATTGGGCACAGAGGTCCAGCAATTCATGGCGCGCTGCGATGCCTGCGCACGAAATAAAACAGACACAAAGAAGTCTTGTGGTTTGCTTCAACCACCTAAAATTCTGAATGAACCTTGGAAGAGTGTATCCTTGAATGTTACCACTGATCTTCCCAAGACTCACGATGACCATACATCGATCCTAGTATTTGTGGATTTTTTGACAAAAATGGTTCATTTTGTGGCCACAACAACTCACGTATCTGCGGAGGTTACGGCCAAATTGTTTGTGGCGCACGTTTTCCGCTTACACGGGTTACCACGTGTATTGGTGTTCGACCGGGATCCGCGCTTCACGAGCCGGTTCTGGCAAGAGGTTATACAGACACTGGGAACGAAGCTTAAGATGTCATTGGCGTTCCACCCCCAAACGGATGGGCAGACGGAACGAACAAACGGGACACTTGAGCAAATGATTCGTTCATTCATTGGCACAACTCAGGATGTTTGGGACGAGTTGTTACTTGTCGTTGAATTTGCAGTGAACAATTCAGTTCATGAGGGTACGCGTGAAACCCTTCATTCTGAACTTCGGTCGGCATCCCACAAAACCTGCTACGCATGGGATCGGTGGATTGAAAATTCCAGCCACAAAAGACTTTGTTGGCAAGGAGCAAGAAGCACTTAAGTCTGCTCGCCATTTGCTGCAACTCTCCCAGCAGCGACAAAAGTCTTACGCTGACATGAAACACCAGGAAGTCTCATTTGAGGTCGGCGACAAAGTTTTGTTGAGCACGAAGAACATTCGTCTCAAAAACCCTGGAGCACGAAAGTTGTTCCCTTGATGGATTGGGCCATTCGATGTGATCAAGCGTATTGGTGTTGTAGCCTACAAGCTTAAGCTACCTGATACACTACACATTCCATGTGTAACATCAGCTCTGCAGATAACATGAGGAACTGTTTTATGAAGTCGAACGAGTGCTGGTGCTCGTAGTCTTCCATGTGTCTCTGTTGAACAAGTACGTTGCGGAAGGCATGTACTTGCCACCACCAATGATCGTCCTAGGGGAGGAACTGTTTTATGAAGTCGAACGAGTGCTGATGCATCGTGATCGACAGCGCGAATGCAAAACAATACGAGAGTTCTTCATCAAGTGGAAAGGCTATGGGTCTGAACACAACTCATGGGAGCCAGAAGAGTATTTGACTGAAACTGCAGTTCAGACATACATGGCAGATTTGGCCCGACGAGCTGCTGCAAAGCCAGTGGATGGTGCTGACCCTGGTCGTAATGTGATATGGCGTGCTCGAAGCGCTCGTTCTCAGAAGCAACTCAAGGCAACGAGGACGTTGCCACCTGAAGGGGGAGGAGTGTAACGCGCGACCTACCTAGGCACCTAACGAGAATCTCGTAGTCAATGTCGAGAAGTCTCTTGACAGAAAAAATAAACTACGAGAGATGGGAAGGATGGGTTGGAGAGGAAAGCTGGTTTGGTTTTCCCAACCGTCAACCTGGTGGTTTGGAAACATTCCAACCCATCAAAGTGAGGATTGAATAGTTTGATTTCCAACCAATCACAAGATGCCATTTGTTGTTACAATCCAACCAACCAACAAAGCAACCATACACATCTATTAAGTTGGGTTTCCCCAACCAAACTATAATGTTACCTAGGTTCCAAGCCTATGAGCTCCCCAACCATGCAAGCCATAGTTGGGAAGAGCCCTAAGGGGTATTGCAGAAGGAATTGGAGCTTGCAAGCTTATTCCCACTTCCCAACTCCAACAATCTGGGATTTCTTAAAGTGTTTTTGGTTCTCCTAACAAACTCTCCTACACAACTAGAGTTGAGTTTTCTTTGAGGACAAGCTCTACAAGAAGCTAACTACTTGCTAAAGCTTCATCAACTCTTCAAGTTCTATATCCCATCTCAAGCTTCAAGACTACTATCAAGGCTATATTATCCCTTGGTGGGATAAGTTTAATTTTGAAAGCCTTGTATTTGATTTTATAAATAATTTCAAGAAGGATTCTTCATTGAACACACGATTGCCTGTTGTTATAAGGGCCGTGGTTGTTACAAGGAGGGCGGGGGAGAAGGGGAAGAGGAGTAACGCCGATCAGAAAGTTGCGGAACCGCAACTTTTAAGTGACTAGCACGCAACATCTTGGAGTTTGGACTTTCGCAATGTTGTGCAACTCACCTGCACGCCGCTCAGTAGTATCGTCTTGCACGCGAATCGCTTGCCCATCGCACGGTCTTCGCACAGTCGCACGACCCCGAAGTGGCTGCGCCCCAACTCGCGCCCAACCTCATAAAGCTTCGCCAAACGCGGGCAGCGCAACTCCACAGCCAACGCGGAGCGCGTTCTCGTCACGATAGTGTCTGTTACCAAATCAGCCGGTGTGCGCAGATTAGCATCGGCTGTACGCAGTTCCTCCGTTGCAGCGGGCACCGTGCGCAACTCTGCAAGCGGCAGCGTTAAAATGCACAACTCTACAGCCACGTGCAGTTCCGCTTCCACCACTAATCCTACTTTCCACATCCTCGGGAACCCAATGGCTCCACCACCTTTTGACTCGCCGGCGGCGTTGACGATGCACGCGACATCTCTGCGAAGGCTACTTCTTTCATGGGCAGCGAAAGGTGTAGCGCTTGTCGTCGGTGCAACATTAGCCTGAATCGAGGCTTGAGTAAACGGCTGCGAGTCGCGAGTGTTTGGACGTGTTCTAGCTTCGCGGTTTCTACAAGGCGGGCGAGGAAAACCCCAAGATTGCTAAAGAACGACTCAAGCCGCTTGAATATTTCTGCGACTGACGCTCCGTGTTACAACGACAGACGCAAGCTACTGTCGTCCATCTTACGGTCACGATGATGTGCAAGAAAATGACATGATAGAGTTTTGATTAACGTTCCGATGTGCAAGTGTCTTTTACCTATGCCTAATACAACAATGAAGGATGAGCAGAGGCCTTGGAATGCCACTGCAATGCAGATTCTTGAAATGGACACGAGGAGCTGGAGAGGAAGAATGTGAGGGAGGGTGGGGGAGACACAGGTGGGTGGTTTTGCGATGCAGTTAAGTGCGGTTGAGAGATAGCCGATGCTAGAAGGGGTGATCGATAGGGAGGGGAGGGGAACGGGAAGGTGATGGATGAAATGAGGCCGCGCGGTGTAATCCGAGATGCAGAGCGCATCATATGCTATCGCTGGTTTGGCTAGCTATTTTCAATTCGACAAGCCCAGACCAGAAAACAGGTCAAGGCCAGACTAAAACCAAGCCGTGACTCGGCTGAAAACTTAAGGCGTGTACAAAGTGAATGTGTGAGGAATATTGATGAATGTCAACCCTCGGATCGAAGGTTCCAACAATCAGGATTCATAGACATTCCTCAACGTCGAACTACATGCAGCACTTTGTACACGCCTTTACATTAGAATCCCAGAAGCACTCTAGGTCCAGCGTCAGGGGAGGAGATTAGTGTGAGTGGGAAAGTGAAGCATTTTCCTTCACGCCCTACCCCAACAGATAGATCAACGGGCTGGCACGGTAGGAATGTCAGGTTCGGAACCAAAACGCTGGAGCTGTAGGGGCAGTGATGTTCGACGTGAGAAACGAAACGAAGTACACCCTCATTGCCGCCACACTGACATTCGCCACATGTACCAAACGCTTTGTGTGACTGCAGCGTGCTCAGAATGGTGCTAGCACATACTCTATTAGCACAATCACGACTGCCAACTTGGTTGTGCCAGCTGTTGACTTTGACTGGCCAGGAAGTGTGGCTGAATCAAGACAGCCAAACACAGTGCACTTGCATGTGTGTTTGGCTACCGTTGCTTTTCTCTTTGTTTGTTTTACCATATGTTACCCCTTTGTACCGAACGTAGCGAATCTGTTTGTGTTTTGAACGTGTGTTCCGATTTGTCTATTTTTTGTGTGTTTTTGACGTGGAATCACTGGCCAACATGCGTGACAAAGTCAACAGAACATTTCGAGTGTTCTGTTTTGTCGCTTGCTGCATGGTGTGCCTGTCAACATTAGGAGGTTCGGTTACATGCACAGTGGCACTAAATGACAACACTGTAGACGCTGCTCCCAAGTGTGTGATAGCCGAGAATGAGGGTGTACACATGATGCACGAAGTACATATGGGCCCATTTCTGCTGGCGTTACGGGCGTTAGAGCATTTTCAACCAGCCTCGAAAAAACGCCGGCTCAAAAAAACCTCGTCAGAGTAAGCATACACTGCACCTTCGAAAAAGCAGGCCTCCCTACTCGGCTGGCGTTAAAGGAAGGGTGCACATTCATGGGGGTGGTTTTTGGGGGCATTGTTAGAGCACACCCTTTGATGGGGTCTGATTGGACAGCGAAATGATTAGGGTACGGAAAGCTAGTGCGAGGGATTCAAACTTGGCTGGCGAGGCCAACCGATTTCGTACTGAGATTGGGCTGGGCAATAACACCGCTGAACGGCGGAAACCAAGCATATGGCGCAACCAGGGAAGGGAACCATGTGATAAACAACCAAACAGCGAAAGTAAATTTACATCCAGACCAGTTAGGTATCACCATTACACATAAATTAAGTGTGCTTTCCCTATCGCCACGACGATAGAGCCCAGAGGGTAGAGTCTCCTCCCCCACACGCATACTCGCAAGCGTTTTCGTATGTTGCTGGCGATATTGTAGCTAGCTCGCGAAGTCATAAACAACGGGCGAATTCTTTTCCCGTCATCGTTGCCTTATCGCTAAGTCGCCACCTCACAGCTGAGTTATAAAAATGATGGCGAGGAAGGGGCATGAAATTCGCAGAAGTCAAATAGCAGGTGCACTTCACGTTCACATAATCAATTGATTGGTTTGCATATTCGACAGGTCACATTTGATTGGCCGCATCACTGATGCCTCGCATGGTGTAGGCTCTCGAGCAAGCACCATGCGGCGGATCAGTGGTGCACCATTTTGCCAAGGAAACGGGTTTCCTGGAACCATCATATGGCGCAAGTGTAAAACAGGCTGTTCGGCAGGCATTTTAAACCCTTCAGGTTCGGCCTAAACCCTCTTTTCTCGAGCCTTGATAACCTCTCAATCACATATAAAGGGACGTTATGGGGTGGTCGTTTTATTGTAGTCGGTCCCCGAGCTTGAGCTTTAACGCCTGCCGAACTGGGCCATGGAGCAACCCGAATATGACGCATCGACCGCAGAAGATGCTTTAGAGGGGATCTGCAATAGTGGTTATTGAAGCCCTCCCCTCCCCACTACAAATACGACTGCCGATGTTCTCTTACATTTATAATGTGTAAGACTTAAAAAAAAAATGCTTGCTTTGAGGAGACCACTGTTGCCTTACTCATTTGGGCGTTTAAGTGATTCTTGCATTTTGCAAAGAGCATCCTATACGTATAAAACGTGTGCATCAATGCGCGCAACCCTTAATGACTGCGTATGGTTGGTCAATTATATGTGCGGTGCCTTTTTTGGCAATGCGCCTCTAATCAGGTATGGTCATATAGGGTCACGAACAAAAATTCCGGATATAAACGACCACGCAATTACCAATATGAGCATGCATATTTTTCTGTGGGATGAGACTCGTGCGATACAAAAAAAAAGGGGGTTAAATACCCTTGTATGGTAATGTGCTGGGGGAAAAAAGGATGCAGGAGTCCCCTGGCAAGATTACTCGAACAATTATCAGTTAACTGTAGAACCACGCAAGCAAATGGAGGCCACATATGCAACACCCAATCTCCAAACACAGGGTTGGAGAAATTCTCTCAGCATACCCACTCCAGAGCGTGCTCTGTTAGGGCGTGGAACATTGCATCGACCAAACGAAATGGTCGACCATATGGGCGGTTCCGACGATTGCGAAGTTGTTGTTACTACTAATACTGTAAGATCTATAACCTCTATGCACGCCCTTTAACTCACACTAGTTAGTCCCCACGGGTCACCTCCAAGAGTCCTCGGTGCCTGAAAAAGCCAGCCCCTAACCAAGGGTCCGTGTTTGTAGAGGGACGCACTGAGTGTTAAGACAACGACGTGCACTATAGCATTCCCAAGAATCCTTGCGCAGCGTTGTGACGACGAATGGCTCGTGTGCAGAGTCGCTCTTCACGTCAATACGTTGATAGAGCAAAATGATCACTAGAAAGGGTTAAGTACAACTGAACACAAGCACGCATTTATATTTCGCCTAACATACAAGCATAGGAAAATAGCAAATGATTGATAAACTGCATTTGCAGGACTTTGCCAGCTTGTCCTTGAAAACGGTTGTCAAACTTCGGAGGAATTTGACTTGATTCACCTCTTTAGAAAAACTGTCTTCAAATTTCATATCTGCCAAACGCCCCTGCTGACTTCTCTTACACTGAACAAAAAAATTGTCCTTTTGTTTTCGTAATCTACGTTAAACGACGCTTAAGTGGCTATGCACGAGAGCTTTTGTGTTTCTTTACCGTGCATGTATCGCGTCACGGTGTTACCAGTTTGTGTTGGTAACCACTAGCCCCCATTCCCGCGATATCTCTCAGCAGTGCAATTTCCCTCTCGACACCCCACACGGACAGTTTCTTACAAAACCCCCCGAGCGTCATTTCGTTAGTAGTTAGTTCTTCTCTAGTTAGGTTTTTAGCACATCTCGACCTCTGTCGACGCCCCACGCCCTGCGGAACGACCCCTGCAGCATGAAGCGCCTTGGTGTCAAGAAACAGAGGCAGATCATGACGCGTATTGCAGAGGGGCGAAGTTATCGTAGTATCGCGAAAGAGTTAGGCGTATCGAAATCCGCCGTCCACGACGAGCTCCTACGCCACCTCGGCAAGAATACATACGAGGAATTATTACCTTCCCCGGCGAAACCAGGTCGTCCGCGCAAGCTGCCAGAGAAAATCGAGCGGATAGTTGTTAGATCGATAGTTTGTGGCGAGTCGAAATCCGCCGAGGCGGCCGCGGGAATGCTAGCTTCGACTCACGGCATTAGCGTCACTGGCGCGACCGTTCGAAACACTCTCAAGCGGCATAGCGTTAAGGCGATAGAGAAGCCCTCGAAGCCTCGTTTATCCGAGAAAAACGTTAAGGACCGGCGGCAGTGGGCCAAGGACCATCAACATTGGACGGTTGATGACTGAAAACGGGTGATATTTAGTGACGAAACGAAGATTTGCCGCTTTAGTAGCGACGGCCGTAGTTGGGCGTGGATTCGCGGTGATTGTCCTATGGAGCCGCACCATGTGAAACAGACGGTGAAACATGGTGGCGGCTCCATCATGATTTGGGGGTGCATGACGTACGAGGGCGCGGGTTTCATGTGTAAGATAGAGGGGAGGATGAACGGGGAGTTATACCGTTCAATCCTCAAGGACGAATTGCAGCAGACCATCGAGCATTACGAGCTAGACCCCGAGGCAGTAGTTTTCCAGCACGACAACGACCCGAAGCATACATGCAAGATGGTGCAATCCTACCTAGCCGAGCAGCCCTACACAGTCCTCCCATGGCCAGCAAGCAGTCCTGACCTGAACCCCATTGAG